GCACCTGCCCGATGCACCCGCACCTGGCAGCGGACCCCAAACGAAGCCCGCGCGCTTCTCTGGGGCCGGCGCGGGGCTCCCCTCTTCCCGAGGGCACGCAGACGCACAGCGGACGAAGAGGGGGAGAAGCTCCCCACGGTAATTATCGACTCCTCCTCCTCCCCCTCCTCCTCCTCCTCCTCCTGCTCCTCCTCCTCCTGCTCCTCCTCCTCCTCCCCCTCCTCCCCCTCCTCCTCCCCCTCCTCCTCCTCCTCCTCCTCCCCCTCCCTCCTCCTTCCTCGCAGTCGTGACGGAGTGCGGCGAGCAGGAAGGCTTGGGCTCGATGCCCCGAGGCGGACTCGCGCCTCGCACAGCCTGCCCCCCCCCCCCCCCCGGAGGTGGTGGGGGAGTCGGGTGGAGAAGGGATGCAGGTGAGCTTGGAGTGGAAGAAGCACAGCGGACCTGGGAGGACAGGAGGGGAAGCAGGCAGAATGCACGACGTTCCCTCTGCCCGCTTTCCCCCTCGCTTCAATCAAGGTCGAATGCTGTGTAGTCCTGAATGGTCTTTATAGAACCCCCCCCAATAGGGGGTAACGAATTATTTGCTCGGCGGCCTTGTTAAAGGACTGGGGTCCCACCAATAGGGAGTAATTATTTGTTTGTCGACACCCGCGGCGCAACAACGAGGAGGAGGAGGAGGAGGAGGAGGAGGAGGAGGAGGAGGAGGAGAGAGGAGCAGGAGGAGGAGGAGAGAGGAGGTTCTAGGACAAGTCCTATTCAACGCCGAGAGAAAAGGGGTGGGGGGGACCAAAGCTAAAGACCTTCAGCGGTTCAACTTTTTCCGCCATCGGTGACGCCTGCCGGCGGACGGCAGGAGAGCGCATCCACCCCACGTGCCGCCGCAGGGGCATGAACTGTCTGGCCGCCGTGGCACAATCGCCTCCGATGGCGGAACCAGATCATCTCATGCCAGCTTACAGTGGAGACCCAATCCACAAGAAAGCTTCCACAAGAAGCCCGACCCTGCGACCCCAGGACGTCCATGGGCTTTTGGCGCGGGAACGTCACGCCTCCGCAGAAAAACTACCGAGGACGTCCGTGAGTCTTTGGCGTGGGAGCGCCACGCCCTCCACAGCACAGCCATCGAAACCCGAGAAGCCCAGAGCACCCTGCAGGCAGGCAGGGTGTTGCTTGGCATGGGCTTCCAGCGTAAGCCTCCTCCGAGGCCGAGACCCCCGACGTCCGTCATGACTTGTGTTCGCGCTCCAGAGGTCTGGACCCACCGGTCCTGCGGTTGAGGGAGACAATTAAGCAACACTCCCCCCCTCCCCCGCAATTCAAAGTTGACAAGTTTTCGCAAGACCGCTCGAAGGCCCAAAGTCGGAAGATCCGAAACCAACATCGCATTTGGGGAGAGGGGGGGGAGGTTCAAACCATATGTTCTGCATGAGTGTTGCTTAATTGTTTCCGACACCTGTGGGGCCTGGGGGGAGCCCCCAGACGCCGAGAAGAAAGATAAGCCTCCCGTCCTGATTTGTCATGTCCCGGGGCCTGGGGAGAGCCCCCAGACGCCGAGAATGAAGGTAAGCCTCCCGTCCTGTTTGTTGCATGACCCGGAGCTGTCTGTGGAGGGGTTCTCGACGGTCCTGGGGCCTGGCGAGAGCCCCCAGACGCCGAAAACATAGAGGCAAACCTCCCGTCGTGCGAAGTGAACCCCACCCTCCCCCTCAGAAATCGTGGGGAGTAGGGGCAGGGTTCGCGTGTGGCCCCCTATGATGCTCGTTCGATCCGCGGCCCTGGAGCTCCCAACCAACGGGGCCCAGGGACGCACACACAAAAAAAACGGGCGTCCCAGGACTCCCCACCCTCTGTTGTCCCCATCAGTGTCTGGGCTTCTGCTCTTCCCCCCCCACACGCTTCCCCGATTTTCCCAGGCTGTCCTGGGAGTCGACGATCCATTGTGTCTGCGTGTGTTTCTCTCCCTCCTGACCAGCCCCTGCCCCCACAAATAATCTTGCGTCCGGGATCCGTGTTTGGTGGCTCCGGGGCCCGATGTAGGGCGACGAAATCTATACATATCCACTGCTCCCAGGCCAGGCCCATCCTCAACCCCGCAGCGGTGTATACGCCACGCCCTCCTGGCTTGGCCAGGAGGGCGCATACACAGCTCCTGGGTTCAAGATGGGCATGGTCAGGGAGCAGTGGATATGTATAGATTTCGTCGCCCGACGATGGCGGGTCCCGGGGGCAGTGAGGGAGGAAACACGGCGGGATCCCAAAGCGCCGTCTCGCCGCATGCCTGCGCCTCGGCCTTCGGGAACCCCCAGGGTGCCGCCGCCGCTGCTCCCTGGGACTTCTCCCCGGGTGCGTGATGACCAGAATTTCGGAGCGAATCCAGCCGTGGCATCGAGAGCCTCCCAGGAGGCCCAGAAAGGGTGCGAAATCGAGGCAAGGGAAGCGGTATCAATATCTTTGAACGCCAGCGTTAGTCGGGCGTGTCCCCCTACAGGTGGATTTTCGACGAAAAATGCAAAAATACTCAAAAAATAGTCCAAAATGGTCAAAAAGTACTATAAAGTAGTCCCCTAACTATTTCTGGAGTATTTTTGAATATTCCCCCTGTAGAGGGACAGGCCCGACTTAATCCTAGGAATCGCGACATGACCGGCCCCCTCTCCCCTCCCTTCCCCTGGTCACGCCCGTCATCCACAAGAAACCTTCCGCAAGAAACCCAACCCTGAGACCCCAGGACGGCCATCGATCTTTGGTGTGGAAACATCACGCTTTCCATCGCGAAACTTCACGCTTTCCATCGCAAAAACCTTCGAAACTCAAGAAACCCAGGGCGCCCTGGAGGCAAGCAGGGTGTTTCTTAGCATGGATCTCCACTGTAGGGATCGAGGGATCGAGGAGGAGGGATGGAGGGGAACGATCGAGGAGGGAAAAACGGTCTCTTCCTCCCCTGGCACCTGAAGCAGACGAGGCAGCCGACCAGGGAGCAGGCCAGGGCGATCAGCTTGCCAGCGCACTGCCCGCTCCACTGGGTGTGCGCGTGGTCCTGACGGGGCAACGTTAGGTTCAGGTCGGGCATGTCCCCCTACAGGCGGTTTGTGGACGATCAATGATCAATTCTAAAAACAAACCCCCAAATGGTAAAACAATAATCAACAAATCGTCCCGGGACTATTTGTTTACCATTTTTGAATGTTCCTCCTGTCGAAGGACGTGCCCGACTTAACGTTAGGCTCAGGTCGGGCATGTCCTCCCTCCTACAGGCGGATGTTGGAAGAAAACTATACAAAAAATAGCCAAACAATGTCCAACAATAATCGAAGATAGTCGGAACAATGTCCCAGAGGGACGTGCCCGACTCAACGTTAGGCTCAGGTCGGGCATGTCCTCCCTCATACAGGCGGATTCTGGAGGAAAACTAAAAAGATAGCCAAACAATGCCCAAACATAATCGAAGATAGTTGGAACATCGTCCCCAGAGTATTTTGTGACTATGTTTGAGTTTTCCTTCTGCAGGGGAGCACGCCCGACTCAACGTTAATGGCGTTGGGTGTGGGGGCCAACTCCGGTCGGGAACGATCGGGCCAGAACCAGCATTAGGTCGGGCATGTCATCCTACAGGCAGATCTTGGACGAACCATACAACATACCCCAAAACTGGTCAAACATAGCCACAAACAGCCAAAACATCGTCCCCCATTATTTTTGACAATTACTTTGGAATATTCCTCCTCTAGAGGGACACGCCCGACTTAACGTTAGGCTCAGGTCGGGCATGTCCTCCCTCCTACAGGCGGATGTTGGAGGAAAGCTGCAAGAATAGCCAAAACATGCAGACAACAAATACGAAAATCCTCATGATCGCCACGCTCTACTCGCCCCTGCCCTTCCTTCGTGCCCCCCCCCCCCCCCCCCCGCGACCCTGCTCGCCTCACTCTCCTCCTATTTATTCCCCCCTCTGTGCTTCTACTCCTCCTCATCCACCTCTTCTCTTCCCCCTGTCCCCCTCTTCATCCTCCTCCCCATGCTCCGCGCCCTCCTCCCCTACCTCAGGGTCGGCGGCACCGGCCGGAAGGCCTTCGGCATACAAAACGTGTCATTTGTTTTGAATATTCCTCCTGCAGAGGGACACGCCCGACTCAGAACCAGCAGTGTATCGCCGCTGGAGCGGCGATGGGCCGCCGATAGCGAAACCGCACCGGCCCTGGGCGGGTGGGCCACCGAGCCCCTGCCGGCGATCAACGGGCGACTTGGGGGTCAATGCACCCCCCCCCCTGCGCCCATCCCCTCCTCCTCCTCCTCCTCCCCGCCTCCTCCTCATCCATTTTCCCTCCCGCCCTCCTTCCCCTCCCGCTCCCCTCCCCTCCCCTCCCCTGCGCAATCCCTCCCCTCCCCTCCCCATCCTCGCCCCGCCCCGCCCCCGCCCCGCCCCGCCCCCTCCCCCTCCCCTTCCCTTCCCCCTCCCCCCCCTCCTCCTCCTCCTCTCCTCCTCCTCCTCCTCTCCTCCTCCTACTCCTCCTCCTCCTCCTCCTCCTCCTCTCCTCTTTCCTCCTCCTCTCCTCCTCCTCCTCCTCCTCCTCCTCGTCCTCCTCGTCCTCCTCGTCCTCCTCGTCCTCCTCGTCCTCCTCGTCCTCGTACCTCGTCCTCGTCCTCGTCCTCGTCCTCCTCCTCCTCGTTTCCTCGTCTACCGTCTCGTCCCTCGTCCTCGTCCCCTCCCCTTCCCCCTTCCCCTCTCCTCCTCCTCCTCCTCCTCCTCCTCCTCCTCCTCCTCTCCTACTCCTCCTCCTCCTCCTCCTCCTCCTCCTCCTCTCCTCCACAATTACTCAATATGAATACTACTCTCCTCTTCCCCTGATGACGGGTGGGAGTGTTCGCGCCCCCCCCCCCCCCCCTCCGCCGCGTATTGTTTCTTACACACAAGATTCCCCGGAATTGGGTTTTCGCCTGCATTTGTTTTCAAAATGCTGCTCTCGCTGAGGCGCCGGCCTCATTTTCGGGCCCCGCTCGTTCCGAATCGTGCTCCCGCTGCAGCGCTGGCCTCATTTCCGTGCTTCCGCTCGTTCCGAATCGTGCTCCCGCTGCAGCGCTGGCCTCATTTCCGCGCTTCCGCTCGTTCCGAATCGTGCTCCCGCTGCAGCGCTGGCGTCATTTCCCGTGCCATGCCACGGCATGCAATGCAATGCTAGGTTGCGTTCCGCTGCGCGATGCCATGCCTTCAGCTGAAGCTGTGATATGCAGTGCTTAAGTGCCACGTCGTGCTATGCCATGCTATGCTTTGATCTTCAACGCCATGCTATGCAATGTTATATTCGCGGCCGCTGTGCGATGCCATGCTTTGCGTTGCAAAATTTTGCGATGCAATTCTTCACTACGCCACGCCACATACTACGCTTTGCGGTGCTCTTCTACGCCATGCCATGCCGTGCTCTACAATGCATCGCGTACCCTTTCGGGATCATTGCCCTGCTCGACATCCGACTGTGCGAGTAGAGGGGGGATCTACGCCATGGTAAGGGATGGGAGGGAGGGGTAGGATGTCATACATGACGCGAGCGCACCTAGCTTGTCCTCCTCCTCCTCCTCCTCCCCCTCCTCCTCCTCCTCCTCCTCCTCCTCCTCCTCCTTTCCGTCTTCTTATAGATAAATCCTCCCTGTCGCAACCCGAGGACAGTTTTTAGGGAGGGCCGAGCGTTTCGCCTGAGCCTTAAAAAGTTGGCAACAGCTTCAGATATGGAGAGCGGGTGGTTTTCAACATATGGCTCTCGCCTTAGCGCCGCGCACATTCGTTTTAAACACTTGCAAGAGCTTCACGGATTGAGGGCGGTGCGCACATTCATTTTAACAAAGTGCAATGCGGATTGAGGGCGGGTGGTCTTCAACATGTGGCTCTCGCCTGAGTGCCGCGCACATTCTTTCTAAAAACTTGCAAGAGTTTCACGGATTGAGGGCGGGTCGTTTTCTAATGTGGCTCTCGCCTTAGCGCCGCGCACATTCGTTAAACATGCAAAGAGTTTCACGGAGTGAGGGCGGTTCCTTTTCAACATGTGGCTCTCGCCTTAGCGCCGCGCACATTCGTTTTCAACTTTGCAATAATTTCACGTATTCCCATGATCAACGTACCGGAAATAGTGTTTTGGAAGGATTCAGGGTCATGCGGGCGCAAGAGTAATGTTGATTCGCTGCGTTGAAATCCCAAAAGTGGCGTTCTGGCGCGATTCTGGACCGCCAGCACGCAGCAGTCAGATCGATAGGTGGCGTTGGAATCCCGAGAACAATGTTGTGGCACGCTTAGGATCTTCCAACTGCTGTCTTCCAACGAGGCAGTTCCGTCAATGGAACTGAACCGTTCTAGGGGCCTATGAAGAGGGAGCTTGGAGGGAGGGTACATTCCAAAATCGTTGATGACTCTTGGGTTTCCCCTCGTCCTCCTCCTCCTCCTCCTCTTCCACCTCCTCCTTCTCCTCCCCCTCCCCCTCCCCCTCCCCCGTCCCCCCCCTCCCCCATCCCCCTCCCATCATCCCCCCTCCTCCTCCTCCTCCCCCTCTCCCTCCTCCTCTCTCCTCTCCTCCTCCTCCTCCTCCTCCTCCTCCTCCTCCTCCTCCTCCTCCTCCTCCCCCTGAGCCCGTCGCCCCCCTCCCCAACTTTGCCCCCGAGGTCCATGGCGAAGCTCAGTCTGAAGCACGACTCGCACGCGGTGCTGCCCACGCCGGAGAAGTAGGACAACGAGCACGACGCGCACGTGGCGCACCCCTCCTCTCGGAGGAGAGGCAGCTGAAACAACGGCAGGGGGCCTTCAGGGGTCCCCCCCCGTCGCCACGGCTGGACGCAGCAGGGCTCGAGTAGGGGATCGACTACTGAATTGACTTACCCCAAACTTGATTCTCCCGTCGACTCATACGTAGAATGTTCGTAGAACTATGGAAGTCCAACGCATGTCTCATTGACTCGACGAGAAAATCAAGTTCGGGGTAAATCAATTCTGTAGTCGATCCCCTCCTCGAAGGGTCTGGGGACTGCTTCTGAGCTTCCGTCGTTTCAACCCGCCCTGCTCGGATCCTCTCGGCTGTAGCTGCCCGGCTCGCAACGCTTGTAGGAGACCTGGTGCGCCAGGTCTTGGTATGCCCCAGCCGGCACGGGGTGGCAGCCGGAGCTGACCGACGCGTTGGAATACCGTCCGGGCGGACACGCCTTTCGGCGGCGCGCCCAGGGGGGGAGGTAGCCGAGAAGCAATCAAAGCACCCGTAACCCTTTGGGAGGGGGCCAAGGTAGGAGGTCCATTCACATGATGGATGAGGGGTCCTTTGGGGCAGACGTGTTGAGCGGCACCGCCCACATGTTCAGGGATACACTGCGGGCGCGGCCGCAAGAAACCTGACCATGAAAACCCACGCGCGAGGTGCACCTGAGGGGAAACCCACAGCACCCGGAGCGCACCAGCCCCTTCTACGGCTGCGGGAAGGCGCAGCGCAGCTCGCGGAGCGAAGAAACCCAGGCTGCCCTGACGAAAACCGCATGGCCTCTTGAGGAGCGCCCCCGCTGTGCCCCTGAAACACGGGAGCTCAAGTGAGGTCACGAGTTCACTGTGTTACGAAGAATCGGGGCTGCACTATGCTCAACGAGCGGATGGCGCGCGCCTTTCTCGGCGGGCTCCGAAGGCCTCCGGGCCTTCTCAGCAGCCTTCTTTACAGCAGGAGCTCGACCACAAGACACCTTCCACAAGAGAACCATCGAATCACAAGAAACTCAGGGGCAGCCTGGATGCACACAGGGTGTGTCTTGGCATGTCCTTCCAATGTAAGCCTTTTCCGAGGCCCAGACCCCCGACGTCATGATTTGTTTTCGCGACGCCGACCTCCAAAGGTCTCGATCCATCCGCGGGACCGGCATCATGAGCCGTTCTTCGACGATCCTGGGGCCTGGGGAGAGCCCCCAGACGCCGAAAATGAAGGCAAACCTCCCGTCCTGATTGTTGCATGACCCGAAACTGCCTGCGGAAGGGTTTTCGACGGTCCTTGGGCCTGGCGAGAGCCCCCAGACGCCGAACCTGCAGAGGTGAACCTCCCGTCGTGACTTTTCCACGCACCCAAGACGACGACGACGACGACGACGACGGCGACGACGACGACGGCGACGACGGCGACGACGACCACGACGACCACGACGACCACGACGACGACGACGACGACGACGACGACGACGACGACGACGACGACGACGACGACCCCGAAACTGCCTGTGGAGGGTTGGGCGCCCGAATTATCCGGGGTAACTCGGGTCCGGGGTAACCCGGGTTTTGGTTCCCGAAAACCGAACCCGAGTTAACCCTGACCCGAGTTACCCCTGATGATTCTGGGGCTCTGGACGCCCGAGTTATCGGGGGTGCCTCGGGTCCGGGGTAACTCGGGTTTGGGTTCCCGAAAAACGAACCCGAGTTAACCCTGACCCGAGATACCCCTGATGATTCTGGGGCTCTGGACGCCCGAAATATCCGGGGTAACTCGGGTCCGGGGTAACTCGGGTTTGGGTTCCCGAAAAACGAACCCCGAGTTAACCCTGACCCGAGATACCCCTGGTGATTCGTTGACAACATGTTCGACGGGATGGAAGAGAAGAACGCGGAGCTGTTGAGCAAGATCGAGGCTGTGAACGAGGACCTCCAGAGGTTCAAGGAAGCAGCAAAGCATACAGGAGTTGGGAGGGATGGGAGCCCATAAGACACGCAGCTGTAGCATGACCTCACACAGCAGATCGCGCAGCTGGAGGTCCAAATGCGTACCCTCATGCAGACCGGCACCGATGAGACCAAGCTGATCGCTGTCTTCGGCGGGATGGATAGCTTGAGGGACGAATGCAAAGCATCCAAATGGATCAAAGACCGGCTCTGGGAAGGATACGTTGTTCCAGCTACCGAATATTACGTGAAGGGGGACTTCAAAGGCCTTCTGTTTGCAAACTTCTCTAAGCAAGAGGACCGTGACACAGCAAGGTCACGCTCGTACCAACCAGCTGCCACACAACTGGTGGAGACTGGAGGCATCAACTGGTTGCGTGGCGTACACGAGTGCGTAAAGGCAGCCACTAACTTCAAGTCGGGCCTGTCCCCCTACAGGGGGATTTGGGACGAAAAATAAAAAAATACCCCAAACAATACTCGGAAGATGCCCCAAAATACTAAAAAAATAGTCCCCAGACTATGTTTGACAGTTTTTGAATATTCCTCCTGCAGAGGGACAGGCCCAACTTAATCCTAAGAATCGCGACACGACCAGCCCCCTCTCCCCTTCCCTTACCCTGGTCACGCCCGTCATCGCGGAAGGTTCAAGGATCCAGGGGGAACGATCGAGGAGGGATCGAGGATCGAGGGACGAGTACAGGGGGGACGATCGAGGAGGGATCGAGGATCGAGTACTATTTTTTGACTATTTTGGAATATCCCCCCTGTAGAGGGACAGGCCCGACTTGATGCCGACTCCCCGGGCGCGGCCGAGACGGCCGTGCGACGGCGGGCAAAAGCCCGGGGACACGGCTGCGCTCACCGGGAGTCGAGGCAGAGGAGGCGAGCCTGCAGAGATCGCAACGCGAAGGCGCGTCTGTCGAAGACTGGGGATCTTCTGACCCGGGTCCATCCAGACCCGGGTCAGCAGGAAGCCAAAAACTGCAATGCACAACAAAAAAACTGCAGCGCAGGTCTTCGCAAACCCGGGTCGGCCAATATGCGCGGCCGCCTCGCGGCCACGAGCGGCTCGCTGACCCAGGGGGTCAGCCAAGGGGGGTCTTCGCAGGATCCTGCAGGATCCGGTGCCCTGGCTGACCCCCGTTTGCATTGACCCCCGTCTCGAGGCTCCCGAGAAGACCATCGCGACAGGCACCCGGCGCCTCTTGAGAGAGTGGCAGACGGAGCGCCTGACGGAACAGCTGTCGAAGTTTGGCGGTGCGCGCAAGGGGGTGGAGGGAGGGGGGAGGGCTTCTTAGAAGGAGGCTGCCTCTTAGAAGGCGCCGGCCCTACATCTGTAAATAAGGCCCGCGCCTTCGAAGAAGCAGGAGGGCTTCGAAGAAGCCCTCCCCCCTCCCCCCTCCCCCCTTCTGCGCGTGGCTGATAAGTTCAAGGAGCTGGATCCACTCCACGGAACCAGCGCCGAGCCTGTGAGGAGGCGCGCTTCGCAGAGGCCAGCGCCTCGTGAATCTGCCGCCGTGCTGCAGGACGCGCACTCTTTTGCAGCGAGCAGCCGCACGACCTCGGAGGTGCCTCGCTACTCGCGCGGGTCCCGGAGTTCGACGAGATCGAGCTGAGGGCGCTCGGCCAGCTGTCCGGAGGCAAATGCGCGGACAAGCACGGCGTCGTCCTTGAAATGATTGCTCAAGGTGGCGCTTCAGTGCGCGACGTATTACTTGGAATCTTCAACCAAATCTTGCGATCGGGGGACCTGCCGAACGACTGGAGCGAACTCCTGTTCATTATGCTTCCCAAGCCGGGCTCTGGCGACAAGGCAGACCCGAACAAGAGGCCCATCGCAGTGTTAAACGTCACGCACAAGGTTTTCTCAAAGATGCTGAACAACAGGCTGAAACCCATCTTGGATAGCGAGCAACCCTCCGAACAAATGGGTTTTAGATCCTAAGACGGGCGTTGATCATGCCGGTCTGGATCGTCAGCATCGATCTGAAGAAGGCTTTTGACAGGGTCTGCTACAGCTTGCTGTTTGACGCTTTGCGGGAGCAAGAAGTCGACGAGTCCTACCTCGCGCTGATGGCGCAGCTGTACTTCTGGCAGTCCGGTAACGTCGGTGGACAGGCCTCGTTCCCTATCTGCCAGGGCGTGCGCCAAGGAGATATACTCAGCCCTGCCTTGTTCAACGCCGCGTTGGAATCTGTACTGAGGCGGTGGAAAACGAACATGGGCATCTGCGGCCTGCTGTTGGACAGCGCCCACGAAAGGCTCACGAACATCAGGTACGCTGACGATTTGCTGCTGTTCGGGAAGAAGTTCGATAAGGCCATGTCCATGTTTGAGGCTCTATCTGAAGAGCTCGCCAGGGCAAGCCTCTCTATCAATGGCTCCAAAACGAAGATGCTGACAACGGATTCCGAGTCTTCAGACAGCGATGTTCCGCTTCTGGCTGATGCTGGAGAATGCATGGTTGAGGTCTTGCGATGCGAGGCAACGCACAAGTATCTGGGACGTCTGTTCTCTGGAGACTTACGGCGGAGAGGGCAGTATAATTTGAACCGCCTCTTGGCTTGCGGATGGATGAAAATCCACAATTTAGCGCCGACCCTGCTGAACCGGAAGATTCCTGCTCCATTGCGCCTCAAACTCTTTCACAGTGTCGTTACCCCTGCTGTCTGCTACAGCTTGTCGACGACACCGCTGACTTCGGAACAGATTGGCAAGCTGGATGCCGTTCAAAGAAAGATGCTGCGAAAAAAAATTGGATGGGTTCGCTTTGACGACGAAGATTGGGAGACCACAGGGCATCGCATGAAAGCAAGATTGGAGGCCGCGCTCCAGCGGCACCCTGTGCAGGAGTGGAGCAGGGTAAGGCAGCTCGCCAAAGACAGGCTGCTTCGCACCGTCGATGCCGGAACGGCGCCGCTAGTCGCGCAGCTGGCCGCCAACTGGGCTCCGGCGCAAGTTCAAGATCGCTTCCTACAACACGCTCCGCGCAGACGGCGGGGAAGGCCGAGACAGAGATGGACTGACTGATCGCCGATGCTGCCGCTGCCGTCCCCCATTCCCCTCCTCCCCTCCATTCCCTCCCTCCCCCAGGCGTGGCTGCGCCAGCGTAGTCTGCCCAGACGAACAACAGATGCTACTGCCAGGATGCTTTCCAGTTTTTCTGGTGACATTCCCAAGGAATTGTCGCCGTGCATGTTCATCCCCGTGTTCTGAATCAGGACCGGCCTTTGGGCCGATCGGGCGTTGCGCTACCGAGATCGGGGCCACCTCCCCGCGGTGGAGGAAGACCGCCGATATTGGTGCTGGTGTCCGCGCCGAGGCCTTCGAGTGGGGGCGAGGCCAAACCCGCTCGGAGGTCGGGGATCTGCTGACCTGGGTCGATGCAAACCCTGGCCAGCCGGGCTTTGCAGGATCGTGCAATGTCCTGCAGGATCCTGCGCGCTCCGCTAGCCTGGGCAATTGCAACCCTGGCTTTGCAGGATCATGCAAGATCCGGCGCTCTAGCTGACCCCGGTTTGCATTGACCTCGGCGGCCAGGCAGAAGGTGACTGCGTCGGCGATGAGAGGCTTAAACGGGGATGCCGCTAAAGCGAAATGTGCTACCACGCAAGAGGAGGACGAGGAGAGGACGCGGCCGAAGGAAAACAGTCCAAAGGGGAAAAATACACTCTCGAGACCACCACCTCAGACCTCTTCTCTCCCTCCTCCTCCTCCGCCTCCTCCTTCTCCTCTCCCTCCTCCTCCTCCGCCTCCTCCTTCTCCTCCTCCTCCTCCTCCTCCTCCTCCTCCTCCCCCTTCCCCTCCTCCTCCTCCTTCCCCTCCTCCTCCTCCTCCTCCTCCTCCTCCTCCTCCTCCTCCTCCTTCTCCAGACCCCCAGCCCGCGCCAGGCCTGCCCCCTCCCCCCACCCCCCCTCGGCGCGCCGCGGAGCCTTGCACTCGGGGCTGCAGTCCTCGTCCAGGGCTGGACCCAAACGTTGCCGCTCGTTTTTGTGCTCGTCTTGTTTTTCGTTTTGCTTCGCCTGTTCTCCTGCACTTCCCTGCCGGAATGAAAAACAAAAATGCAGCCTAGGTCCAGCACACCGGCGTTCGGGTCCAGCCCTGTCCTCGTCCGCGTAGAACCCGGGCCCGCACTCGATCAGCGTGGTGCCGTCGCGGCTCACGGAGTGCCCCTTGGGCGCGCACTGGCAGTCGTGGTGCCCGCTGGTGAACGCATACTTGCCGAGCTCGCACTTCAGGCACACCGAGCCGCAGGTGGAGCCCTGGTAGTGGCCCGGCTCGCACTCGAGCTCGCGGATGCCTGAAGATCGTTTCACCGATCCCCACCCCCAGCGGCGTGGCCTAGGCCTCACTGGCCGAGTTGCTTCCCTGGGTGGGGATATGGGCCGCTCCCTTCGGGCTTCGAGGGGCGTGTCCCCGAGTGGGGTGGTAATTTGGTGGGGGTCTCGAGGGGGATGGGGATGGGGATGGGGACCGGATAAACGATACCGAGATTTCTCCTCGCCCTGGCCCCGTCCGATCCTCCCCCGACGCATGGCAGGAGGAGGAGGAGGAGAAAACGGAGGAATAGGAGGAGCACGGAGCAGCAGGAGGAGGAGGAGGAGGAGGAGGAGGAGGAGGAGGAGGAGGAGGAGGAGGAGGAGGATACTGAATGCCGTCGGACGTGGCGTAGTGCCCCTTGGCCGCGCACTTGCAGCTGTGCGCCCCCCGGTCGTGCGCGTACCTGCCCGGCGCGCACCTGGAGCAGGACCCGCAGCGCTCGGGGTTGGCGTAGCCTGGGCTGCACGCGGCCTCATTTGGACGCCCGAGGTGGGCACGGAAAGAGTCCAAAATACCCCCCAAAAAATCAACAATTATCCTGGCGAAGGACCCAACCATATGCAAACGTGAATACCGCAGGGCAGGTGGGACGAAGCAAAAAGAATTCCCAATGTGGCCACGAACCGTGTGAGGGGTGCGCCACACTGGGGCGGGGCCGCCATGCGAACCCTGCCACTGAGGCCTTCGGTGGAGCTCTCTATGTCCCTGCGGGGCCACGAACCGTGTGAGGGGTGCGCCAATATGGGGCGGGGCCGCCATGCGAACCCTGCCACTGGGGCCTTCGGTGGAGCTCCCTATGGGGCCACGAACCGTGTGAGGGGTGCGCCAAAATGAGGCGGGGCCGCCATGCGAACCCTGCCACTGGGCCTTTATGGGCTCCCTATGGGGCCACGAACCGTGTGAGGGGTGCGCCAAAATGGGCGGGGCCGCCATGCGAACCCTGCCACTGGGGCCTTCGGTGGAGCTCCCTATGGGGCCACAAACCGTGTGAGGGGTGCGCCAAAATGAGGCGGGGCCGCCATGCGAACCCTGCCACTGGGGCCTTCGGTGGAGCTCCCTATGGGGCCACGAACCGTGTGAGGGGTGCGCC